CATGTCGCATGTTATGTTGTGGTGTGCTATGTTACGGCATGGTTGTACTATGCTATGATATGCTGTGTTATGTTATGTTATGTTATGTTATGTTATGTTATGTTATGTTATGTTATGTTATGTTATGTTGTGTTGTGTTGTGTTGTGTTGTGTTGTGTTGTGTTGTGTTGTGTTGTGTTGTGTTATGTTGTGTTGTGTTGTGTTGTGTTGTGTTGTGTTGTGTTGTGTTATGTTATGTTATGTTATGTTATGTTATGTGATGTCATGTCATGTCATTTCATGTCATGTCATGTCATGTCATGTCATGTCATGTCATGTCACGCAACGTCATGTCATGTCATGTCATGTCATGTTATGTTATGTCATGTCATGTCATGTCATGTCATGTCATGTCATGTCATGTCATGTTATGTCTCTATGTATGTATGTATGTATGTATGTATGCATGTATGTATGTATTTTCACAGTATGTGCAAGCGCGGGATACGGTGTTCGATAGATAAATAGGTAGATCAGTCGAGAGGCTAGCATGGTTGGGTTTAGGGTTTAGGGTTAAGGGTTTAGGGAGAGATAAAGCAAACAAATTCCGAGTCCACAGATAAGTACCTTGCACAAGCCTCAACCCTAAACCCGAGGGGTGTCATTAGCTAGTCCAGGTTTGAGGGTTTGGGGTGCCGATGCAGCAGGCAACTGCCGCTGCCAAACTGGCATTCGACCTAACTTAACCAGGCAGGTGGAAAAGAGGTGACAAAACAAATAACTAAACATCAATACCTTGTGCGAGGACTGGCTCGGCACGCCGCGGATGGGCATGGGGCCGAATCCAATGCACCCCGGCATCAGCTGTAGGGCTTTTCATGAAGGGGGGGGGCTCGATTTCCGTAAGGGTCCGTGTATTCATATACTCTATATGGTATACAGTTTGCCTGAATGTATTTCCAAAAAAGGTACTTTAGGGCCAAGGTGTAGAACGTAAGTGGTACATGGACCCTTACGTATGAAGGGATTACGTTCTTGAGCGTTTGGGATTATGTCTTTCTTTAAGTGCGCTGGAATGTACATGGCCTTAAGATTCAGAGGTTCCGGTCGGGGGCTGGGGGTTGAGGTTTCAGGGTTTTGCCCGGGATGGCGTAGAACACACACTCCTGAGATCTTGAGGGGGCTTAGGCCCTAAACCCTAAACCGTGTAGAGACGCGCTTCGGGCCTAGGGTTTAGGGCATGGTTCGGTTCGTTGAACCCCGAGTCTCAGTCGGGTTTAGTATTAGGGTTGTCTCTGCAAGCTTTTCAATAGAGCCTAGAGTGTATTAGCGGCGTTCGAGTTCGAGGACTTCGAACGTTGCTGGTTGAGTCTGCCTGTGTCTACGATATTGCATGTGGCTGCAATAGCTATAAGGCTCAACCATGGGTAGAAGTTGAAGACTTGGACCATCCTGTTGTTGAGTGTGTCCGATCGTGTGTTTTGTTTCCGGGCCATGTACTTGTAAATGAAACACATTGGCCCTAGCTCCCGGAGACGGAAGATGTGCAGGCGGCCCCGGCTGCAGCAGTTGACATCGTCGATGTTGAGGACGATGACGACGGCAAGGGCATGCCTGATCTTCATGAAGACGTTGCACAGGGCCAGCCGCAGCCGTTGCAGATCGTCTCCACAGACACGCTGGATGAGATGCTGGCAGAGCTGTGTGCTGACGACATGGAGGTCGAAGTGGCCACGTCGGCCTTTCTTCCGGCGAAGCGAACAGCTGAGGAGATGGGACGGCCAAGGTACATGGACCCTTTGGGTTTCGAAGCCCTACGTAGAACATGTGGGTCTGCGGCAGAAGCCCACCAAACCACGCATGTTCCTTGCATTTGGCTTCCCTAAGATTCCATGCACCGCCCACACATGGCCTGTCTTACATGTATGACATACTATATAGGACGTACTTTAAGGCCAAAGTAAATAGTAAGCACCCCAATCGAGGCCCTTTCCAAAGTCCACAAGACAGAACTTGCCAACCTAAACCCTAAGCCCCAAACCCGAAGCCCTAAACCCTACACGCTGAAACCTTAAGCCCTTTAAACCTAAACCCTAAACCCCAAACCCTAAACCCAAAGGGTTTAGGGAGTTTGGGCCACTTCTGCGAACATCTTGGAATCTTCGACTCGAAGTATTGGTTCTGTTCGTGCCCCTAAACCCTGGAGTCTAGAGTTTTTAGGGTTTAGGGTTTAGGGGTTTAGGGTTTAGGGGTTTAGGGGTTTAGGGTTTAGGGTTTAGGGGTTTAGGGGTTTAGGGTTTAGGAGTTTAGGGTTGATGCTGTGCCTGCCAGGCCTCTTGGAGTTTTCAGGGCTGGCTCAAGACATCTTATGCTCGTGAGCCTGACACACCACCTGGATCCCAAAGTTCTAGACCGTCAAGGCCTAAACACCCGACAAGCCCAACACATGAAGTTCTGAACTGTGAACCCTGGAAACCCCGTTCAAAAGCCCTTACACAAGCCTTTAATGAAACCCTAAACCCTGCGCCCGAAACCCTAACCCCTAACCCCTAAACCCTAAACTCTAAACCCTAAACCCCAAACCCCTAAACCCCAAGCCCCGAAACCCCAAACCCCAAACCGTAAACCCTAAACACTGCATCGTTGCTCCAGGCGCCTGGCGGCCGCTTTCGCCGCCGCAGCAGCGGCGGTGGCTGTGGCCACTGCACAGCAGGCCCCAGCCCATTCACTGGGTTCTGGAGTACCATAATATAGGGGCCTGAATAATGTGCAGGTGTCCGGAGGTCAGATACAGGGCCACGCGGCTGGCTTGTTGAACCTGGGTCCAAGGCGAGTGATTCAAATTACCTATACTATTCTGAGGGCCCCTCATTACAATCACATCTAGTTAAATATACCTGCAGGAAGGTCCCGTGGATCCCGCAGTCAACTACTTAGCTGCTGAGTCCACAAAAATATTTACCGAGTTTCCTGGCAATAGAGTCAATAGAGACCCAACGCCGATGATAGACACAGTCTTTCGCAGCGTCGAGCTCCGAATTCCGGGCTTGAGGTTGCTCTAGAACCCAACAAATACGGATAGATCGGGAAACCTGAACCCTAAATGCTGATAAGTTTGAACGAATGTAACTGCCGGGTGCGCCTAAGCCTGCGAGGACAAACCAAAAGGCCCAACCAAAGAGGTCCCAGCCAAAGTAAACACCGACACAAATTTCCGTAGACCTTAGGGTTTAGGGTTTAGGGTTTAGGGTTTAGGGTTTGGGGTTTAGGGTTTAGGGTTTAGGGGCTCCATATATACTACCACTATGGATTTAGGCCCCAACAGACCCTCCGTGTTATGGTTTTGGGGACCTGATTCCATAATGGCAGTACATATAGAGTTTTCTGGGTTAACGAACTCCAAGTAGCTGTAACAAAGCCTTGGCCACGGTCAAGAGGCTGAGAGCAACAACAAACCTTAACCGTCTCTGTAGGCTTAAGAAAGCCCACAGGCAAGTCCTACATCTAAGCCCTAAACATCTGCAGGACCTTCATCGACCCTCATAGGACTCCTTTGGGGGATCTGACAAAGCCCCCAAGCTTTTGTAGAAACTTTGAGCGATTT